ATAAGATTACAGTTAGGACAAGATTATGGTTAGGATAAGATTACAGTTAGGACAAGATTATGGTTAGGATAAGATTACAGTTAGGACAAGATTACAGTTAGGACAAGATTATGGTTAGGATAAGATTACAGTTAGGACAAGATTATGGTTAGGACAAGATTATGGTTAGGATAAGATTACAGTTAGGACAAGATTATGGTTAGGATAAGATTACAGTTAGGACAAGATTACAGTTAGGACAAGATTACAGTTAGGACAAGATTATGGTTAGGATAAGATTACAGTTAGGACAAGATTATGGTTAGGATAAGATTACAGTTAGGACAAGATTACAGTTAGGATAAGATTACAGTTAGGACAAGATTATGGTTAGGATAAGATTACAGTTAGGACAAGATTATGGTTAGGATAAGATTACAGTTAGGACAAGATTATGGTTAGGATAAGATTACAGTTAGGACAAGATTATGGTTAGGATAAGATTACAGTTAGGACAAGATTATGGTTAGGATAAGATTACGGTTAGGACAAGATTACAGTTAGGACAAGATTACAGTTAGGACAAGATTATGGTTAGGATAAGATTACGGTTAGGACAAGATTACAGTTAGGACAAGATTACAGTTAGGACAAGATTACAGTTAGGACAAGATTATGGTTAGGACAAGATTACGGTTAGGACAAGATTACAGTTAGGACAAGATTACAGTTAGGACAAGATTATGGTTAGGATAAGATTATGGTTAGGATAAGATTACGGTTTGGATAAGATTACGGTTAGGACAAGATTATGGTTAGGATAAGATTACGGTTAGGACAAGATTACAGTTAGGACAAGATTACAGTTAGGACAAGATTATGGTTAGGATAAGATTATGGTTAGGATAAGATTACGGTTTGGATAAGATTACGGTTAGGACAAGATTTCGATTAAGATAAGATCACGGTTTGGATAAGATTACGGTTAGGACAAGATTACGGTTAGGACAAGATTACAGTTAGGACAAGATTACGGTTTGGATAAGATTAGTGTTAGGGTAAGGTGTAGGGCACCTTAGGATTGTAAATTCTTGCATTTTGTTGTAGAACTTCCACAACGGCGTGAACGAGCAAGAACATTGAGTAATGAAAAGTTACTTGAAGATGGCGAGACACCTCGATATCAACGACTTCTCTCCGATACTGCAGCCACAACTTTCACTGGCATGTTTAGGAAAGGTAAGAGGAAGGGGAGACCCAAGGACCGTTCACGTGATCAGGTTTTTCCTGAAAGCGATGGAAGGGGTTTGATACTGATGTGTGGAAATCGTTACTATATGAACAAATCAAACAAGATTAAATGATATAAAAACGTTACTATATGAACAAGTCAAACAAGATTAAATGATATAAAATGCTTTTGTTCAGACCCAACAGTTCAACCAAATGATTGATTTTTAATTAAACTTCTTTTTGTTTCCAGTTGTTGATTAATTCGCATGTTATTTTTTATCAAACAGATAGCTACCTGAAAACACTATACAGTTATGATCCCAGTTCAAAAGGTACGTTCTTTGTACAATTATTTTCCATCCCATGCTGGTCTATAGCTACGCAATATATTGGCCTCAGGTTATCTCACCAGCCGTAGGCCCTGGAAATCAGAGCTGCCCAAACATTTTTCAGCCCTTTGAAGTTTATTTGTTCACGGCAACCAGCTTTAATCCAATACATGTTTTCATGCGACGCTCTGGTGCAAAGCCCGGTCGAAATGCATTCGTGACACAACGTTTCAACGTAGTGCAGTGAACTCCATATACGGTATATCTGGAGCGAGAACTCGGGTCCAAGCCAAGATGGCAAAAATTGAAGAGCTATTGGACCAATCTCGTTCCCCGAGCCTGCAATCCTCGGGAAGGAACGCGAGGCTCTGGGATAATCCGTTTCAGGGAGGAATCTGATTGGCCGTTGAAATGGAATGCGTAGTTCAATCTTAGCCAGAATTCCTGGCTTCCGGCAACGGATTATCCCAGAGCCTCGCGTTCCTTCCCGAGGATCGCAGGCTCGGGGAACGAGATTGCTATTGGACGCACTGATTGGACGTCAGTTCCAGTCCCTTTCCATTGTTTTTGTCTGCGCTGCCAACACGAAGCTGACAAAGAGTGTGCCAAAATAACACAATGGTTTTATGAAGTGATAACTTGTTTAGTGATACGGTTCGTTAGAAAAAACTGGAATTAGCTGGAGAAAATGGTATTGAAACTGTTTACGACCTTCAGAGCTATTGGACGTGAACGCCGCTATCTTAGCTTTACTTTTCTCATAGGCTGAAGGACTGAAGTTCTTGCTCCAGATATATATATAGAGCTCACTGGTGTAGTGTCTACATCAGGGGTGATCTGAAGTTGCAATGCTTTTAATACACTATGATGATGTCATCGGTCAACTAGGAGGCGATACTCTTGTGGCAGACAGCTATACCGTCATCTCTATTTAAAGCTTGTGGCACATAAACCTGAATCATCAGGCTTATTTCTGATTTCATTGTTAACAGGTTATAACATGGAGGAAAAGATAAGAAAATATCGATCATTAGAAATATTGAATGACAGAACAAGAACTGGGAGCATCTCATCAGGTAGGAAGCAACCCAACCCCGCGCCCAGCCCCTTTCCTCTACGCTCCCTCGTATCCAGCGGCTTCTGCCGCCTTCAATACGGGAGTGAAATACCACTCTGAATAAGCCAAGTAGAGTGTGGACTGCAAATAACGCGTTTCGTGTCGGGATATCAAGCTAGTTACCTGTCCAATCATCAATATGCAAAAGTTTCTCAAAAAACAATTAATTTCCACACGGTGGACTCGCTTTAAATAAGATATTATTTAATGCGCTAAAACGATCTAACGAGAGCGGTTCTATTTGTGGCTATCAATAAAAAACAAAGTTTCCCCCAAGTATCTGCACTTTTATCCTCATGCAGAACGTGCCATCTGGATATGCAGTCGACACTATAAATGTACAGGCAGTATCAGGCTGTACGTCAACGACGTGCTTCGTAAAATTAATATGTGCCATATTACTGTATCGGGTCCACACTTATTTCCGTTGAATATGTTACTATTTTGATCTTAATTAATTTGAAGACATATTAATATGTGCCATATTACTTCATTCTAAAGTGCCTTGCTTATATCGGTATATTTTACCAGCCAGTAGATTTGACTAGATAGCTCTATCAATTCTAAACATTGAGACCAGATTTATGTGTCCTTTGAAGAGGGGTTCTACTTACAGAGGCTAATAGGCGTTCTAGTGGTTAGGTTAATTATACCGCGTAAGGTCACAGCCTATACCCACAAGTTTACAGGAAAATTTTAAAACTATCTTTCTAGATGTATCTAGCGAAGCTTTCGTGTCAGCCATGCACGACAGTACCCCAGAGCAGCGGTCATTGAGTAGTTCTATTGACGAATTAGACGAAGACAGCCCCAAATCATCACCAGATCCAGCACCAGAGACACAAGCACTGCGTCCTAAAACATGGCCATCATGTCCTAATCTCTCTATTCAAGAAAACATCTGGCAAATTAGACAATCAGGCATTGAGAGAAGAAAACGACCAAGTTCTTTGTACCAAATGAAACACTCTTCACCACGAAGTTCTGTTTATTCCCCACGTAGCTCGGGTTATTGGTCAGAACTGGAACAACTCAGCGAGTCAGAAACATTCAGTCCAACACTTAAACAGCCAGCTGAATCACCCAGCCCGCTGAGTCAAGACAAAACATCCAGCGAGGAAACAATCTCTGTTGAAACACCAAAGACCACAAAGTCCGAGGAGCCTGGGAACAAGCTTATGGGCGCATGGCAAATGACACGTGGTGTATTTCAACAATGGAGATTTAACGGAAACCGTACAAGATCTTCGGAGTGTCTTTCTCGTGATTCCGACTCTTTTCGTGGAAAAACACTCCAACGTATCAATTCAATGCCAGTTGAACGTCACACCAGGAAGATCTCAGAAAATAACACACAAAGAAAAGCTTTCATGACTGACGTTTAGGAAACGACTCACTGGAAAAATTGATACAAGCTACTTGAATTATGATTTCGTGCGAGAAAATCGTACATACTTATTTAGGCTACTATCACAAAAAAGGAAATCCATAAGGAAATTCAGTGAGCGACTACTAGTTAATCAACTTAGTCGTTCATTGGGCAGGGATTGAAATGAGCGGGCCCCAGGTCGCCAACTGCGACCATAATCTTTCATCTGGTGACCAGATGTTTGCCAATTCTCTAGTTTAATAATTTGAGATAATTTTTATCCATTTAAATGTAATTACTCCGTAAATGACACAAGACAACAGTTTTAAATTGGTTGGGAATATATTCAATGGACAGTTATATTATTATTAACACTATGTACAATTACGTTTTACCCTAGAATTACAAACAAGTTTTAGTTTAAAAATTCTTGCGTAATAATTACTTTCAATTAATAACAATTTTAGTACATGTATAGTTATTATAAAGGGTGTCTCAAAAAATGCAATAGCCGTGTCACAGATTCTTGCACAGCTAAGTGTTAATGGACATCGAAAATTCGATCTATATAAGAGATGAATTTTGACACTAAGATTGTTAAATTGGTCTTGTTGAGCCAATGTTATGGCTGTTTTAAAACAAAGCCTAGTTCACCCAATGAACCACAATGAAATCATGCATGAGTTGTGTTAAATATCAATAGGTTTGACGACCTTTCACTTTTAATAATTCATCAATTTTAATAATTCATCGCATTCAACTACTTAATAGTTAGCTGCATGTGTAACAATTTGGAACTGCATTTTTTGGGGACACCTTGTTTAAGTGACTTGTGCAGTTTTTAATCTGGCGAACAATTAAATTCAAGGCAACCTGGAACACTACAGTATATACCTTCATAAAAACTGCGGGATTCAGTATTCAGGTGAAGAACTTTACTCCATCACTTACTGTACTAAAGATCAGATTACGCTCAACACTACGTTTTACACTACGAGTCTCAGGATGACCTCCAATATTTTAATCAAAATTTCACTTGGGAAGGTATAGTGTCCAGGGTATTCTCGAGTTCAACGACGTCCCGTAACTTATTTATTTTATTTATTTAGCTGACAGTATATATCACCCATTGCAGTTAACCTTGAATGTGCATTTTTCCCCCAAGGTGCAATTAGTCATTTTGCCAAATGATAAACAGAACTAACGATGTGATAGGTAAGTATATAAAAGGGAAAATAGAAAAGAGCAGCACATCGAATATCGGTTATACGAAATTTCTGCATCCAGAGCATATTGCATGGGTGGGTGGTGCACGCCGCATAGGAAATATCAGGATTTTGAGGATCTCGCTTGATAGAACTATACAGTATATATCTTGATGGGTTTTCTGTAGATCAAAAACCTTTAACAGTTTGTACCCCTAGTTGTTTACACAATCCATCCATATCAAATTTGGGAGCTTGCTTTTCTTATATCAAATACTCATAGATGTTAATGAACTACGAGGTGGTATAATATTTCCTTACTTTAGCAGAAACTAAAAGCTTTCATTTGCTATCGGATTAGCATCGTCTGCGATGTGTTGCCATGGTTAAATATGTGTGTACATTTCAATATATTTTGCTAAATAAAAATCCCGCAAACATCACGATAAGCTGTGATATTAGATATCACCTTCATGCACTAACATTTTCCGTAGAAAAATATCTAGAAATAACACTCTTTAGTGTATTATTTGGAATAAGGTTCGAATGTTTCATAGGTGTGTTAGCCATAGGACTGGTTAACTTGCCTGACAATATCCACGACTGGATTGCATCACGTTCGTATGAATGACCGTCTAAAGAAAACAAAATGAATTGTTCTTTTTTATTTGAAATTACCGAGAGTAACTGAATGAAAGCGAATGGGAGCAGTCAGCTGCAGTGCTGGAAAATGTCCGGCAACGCTAGCAGCACCGCTGCCAGGAATGTTTAACAAAATATCTTCGCAGGAAAGTTTCTTGCACCTTGCAGGAAATTTTTGTCATCTTATATACAGGAATGCCAAATAATTTACTTATTGTTTGAAATTTCCAAATGAAGCATTTTGCAAGTCGAGATGTGCGGCATCAGAGTCCACACGTTCTCTGAAATTTACAAATGTTTTATACTTGACTTACACACAAATTTTAATTTTTGAATTTTGCTGCCAGGAAGATAAATATATTTCCTAGGATGGTTATAGGATGAGAGCCATGTTCATGCATTTTGCTCTTGTGTCATTTTTACATTTTATTTTGACAAGGAGTACGATCTGACTATATGCTTTACTAGAGCTGTGCGGTTAACCGAAATATTCGGTCAGTCCAGTATAGTTTTTTAGCACCGTAGGCCAGCACCGAGCGTGCGCAAAAGAACCGGTAGTTTCGGTATCCCAGGTGTTATTGCAGCTTCCCAGCGTTCTCACTAACGCCTGATTCACACTAGCAAATTTTGTCGGTGAGTAGGTGTTTCTGACGGATGCAAATGAGTGAACTCGCGCACAAAAGTATAGAGTCGCTTTTCAGAAGTTCACACTTTTGTTTAAAAAAAGAGTTCCATATAAAACACAACGTTCGTTCGTATTTTGAAGTCACACGACTGACACGAGTTTTAGTTTACATATATACGAAGAACGTAACCCCCGGAAATAAAACCCTAGGGAGCCACCTTAAGTCCCTTTGAAGGAAATTTCCAAAGATATTTGGACCTATTTAAGGATTTTTTATGGAACTTTTAAGAAATTAAGATCATGTTTTTGTTTCATTTAACTTGTTATAACTTGTTTATTTTAAAGTTATGTTACAATTTATTCAACAAATGCGTTAAATTGTTCTTCTTTCAAAAATACCGAAACCGACAGCGAACAAAGGTTCTTCCACCCTAAAAAGACCGGAACCAAGATGAAATTCTGGAACAGTACAGCTCTATGCCTTTACTCACACATTTGTACAAATACATTTTTTGCTACGTAAGATAACTGCAGCCTGACGCCATTGATTCCGAGGCTTGAAGTAAAGTGCACTAACTTGTGAAAATCTTATTCAAAAACTAAACATTTCGACCTAATTTAAGATATAGAGGATATTACACGGCGGCGCCAAGATAGGATTTTTATCTTCGAGTGGTGAAAACAATATTTTACGAACGAGCGCAGCGAATGAGTAAAATATTGTTTTTAACACGAGAAGATAAAACTCATATCTTCAAGCCACCGTGTAATGTTCTGTTTATTATATAGTTCCAAGCAAAAAATTGTGAAATTTCACGCTCAAAAGCAAATTGGGAAAAGTCACGTGATCAATATGGAAATATGATATGAAGTTATGGAAAATATCTCACTGCGTATTTCTCAGTATCTCACTCTCTACTATATAATAAATATAATAATATATAATATTTCAGAGCCTGCCTATGATATGTCCGGAGAAAGGTTCCGCCAAAAAGAAAATTGATCGGAAATTTTCAAATTAGGTCAATCAATTTTATGTCGATTTTATTTTTACTCCCTTTGAGGCTAAAAAATGCCCGGAAAAAAGTCCGACCGATTGAGCACGTGGTAGGGAATTGTTATTATCCGCGTTTATCTCTATTTCTGCGTTTTATTCCTTTCTTCTGTGTCCACAATTCCGTTATTCCGCAACTCCAGTGAGCATTTACCTCAAACCGATATTCAAATTACGTAAGGTAAATGTAAGGTAGGATAAAAGCAGAAGATAAACTGATATATACGATTATATATAAGATATAGGTAAGACAAGATTTAAATACAGTATATGTACCTGCAGCAATAACTGGATCAGTCATCAACTCTCGAGTGATTGGACACAGAAACTCATCTGGAATACTATCTTCAATTTCTTTCCTCTTTACATCTTTCACATTTCTCAGAATTTTGTTCCGATGGCCTACCGGTCCTAAAAATATGCAAATACTGGTAAATTAATATATCTTACAGAATATCACAAACCCTACGTCTATATCGTCAATAAAATAACGAGGTCAATTATACGCTGGATAGCACTATCCACTAGATAGGAGTTTTGTCAGTCTTTCTATGTAAAACTGGTCATTGATCCAGATTAAATTTCAGTAGTTTCAAATCCAAATTTTTATCTTTCACTCTAGTAATCTTACTAGCGTGAGCTTTTCAGGCATTTTTACAAAGGTTGAAAAATCGCTAGTACCAGATGTATAAATGAAATCGGAGTTTCTACTGCGCATCCAAATGACGCGTTCTGCGCTGGGAACAAATTTGCAGTCGAATCATAACATGTATATAATGTATATAGCAACACCGCGGAAAAACGTCTGCGCATGCACCAAATTATGAAAATATGGCGGGGAATTTGAATATCAATTTCTAAAACAAAAACATGCTTATTAATTGGTAAAAAATTAGTAAAACAAACGAGAAAATATAGCAAATGGGTAGACTAGACATTAATTGAAAGCGTCCTGGCATTTAAAGTATGGAATGAAATATAATTTATGTAAAAAATTGTTGATTTTAACGGACACGACTTCGAAAATTTTTGCAAAATTATTCAAAGCAAAAATTCAAACTCAAAAGTTAAGAAAACTCTCGAAAAGTTAAGCTTCTTAACCCACTCAAATTGTAGAATAAATCTTAAAGTTTAATTACTGTGAACACGAAATTTTTTTGTATTTGGCGACACAGTTTTTTTCGGAAATTGTCGTTGCTTAGTTCATAAACAAAATGTTTCAGACGATAAATTTGTCAACAATCACCTTTAGTTCATGTTCTTGTACAATACAATTCAGGCCTTAAAATATCTTCTCCAGGGCCGTCTGACAAAATGTCCGGTGAAGTTGAGTTTGGGTCGGACATATGTCCGATGAACTTCAGTTCATTTTTGACTCGGAAATAAGTCTGAATGACACAAATGAATAAACGGTAAATGTTGTAAAGATATTAAATAATTTGTTTCTTTCATACATACTTGCCAGAACAGCAGTATCAAAAAGACTTCGACAACTTAAGCCCGTTTTCCACTTCACCATTTCGCTCGCCGCCCCGCGCTCGACTACGTTAAAACAACATTTCCAGTTGACCTTTTATACAATAGTACTCTGATTTTCCATTTAACATACAAGCCTGCCTCTAGTCCTGGCCTCCTGGGCAAGGGTACATTTTGATTTACGTCGGACAAAGCTACAGTTCGGTCGGACACCAATACACTCGGGTCGGACAAACAATAAACCTCAGTTTCACTTAGGTCGGACAGAATGTCCGGTGGTTTCTTTTCTACGTCGGACAATTTCACGAATGGGTCGGACAATGTCCGTGACCGACCGATATTTTAAGGTCTGCAATTTCTTGAACCTTCTGGCTGTATTTATTCCTAGTTTTTAGAATGACATGTTTATTTTTGCGCTCGAAATCTGGCTGTAAAGACGCGCAATGAAGTCACTCCTTTTTACCGCCATTTTGAGCCTTCGGAAACGTTCGGAACAGCTTCTTATCAATACTATTACAGGCAAGGTTGACGCATGCGCAGACGTTTTTCCGCGGTGTTGTATATAGCTGAGACTGGAAAATTAGAATATGCATATCAGAGTATTGAGATGGTCAATCATCATTTGTGTTTCACTACTATGGACATAATAAAATTGCAAATAAAATCATTTCTGTACCAGCGTACTTTAATTGTCTTCTGTGCAAAACAAAATAAGGAAAGGTACACCTAAAGGAATATATTTTCTAGTTTAAAGCAAATCAACCGTGCGGAAACTAATTCTTCTTTGAGTAACTTCTTGCATATTCAAATGATGATTGAACAGTTGAATATTTTGATATGCATATTCTAATTCTTGCAGTTTCAGTCTATAGCTCTACATCTGGCCTCGCCAGCCCTATAGTCATAAAAAGAACGACAAGAAATAAAACATACCAATACATAAATCATTTGCTAAGATTTCTGCAGTAATATTAAACAGTTCTGTTCCATCAATTTCATTCTCACGAAAACATGCACAATATTGTTCAAGATTAAGATTACTCAGCCAGTTACACACTTCGTCCACTGTCCATGACGTCATTTTCTTAACAGGAGCCTTGAAGAGCAAAGGAAGAAAATCAGTACCGTAACGTTGTTTTGGTATGGTTATGGTACGTCATATACTAATTCAAGTTGAAAAACTTTTCTGCAAAACTTCAAAGAGTATGACATGCAGGGTCTGAATTACATGTAATGGTCCAAATTTACGGCCTACAGTACAAATGACAAATCGTCATGCGAAAAGCACTTTTGTAGACCAAAATATAATTTCACGGAAAAATTGTAGGCTAACTTTTCATTCAATTTTATACACTGAAAATCCCTTGCCTTGGTAGGGAAGGAAACACAAAAACTATAAACAGTTCAAAATGACGTTCATCGAAAAACATCATACAAAAAAATATTGTAGGTCAAAAAAGAACTTTGTACTTGGGCGATTTTTGGTTCACGGTCGGGGGGGGGGGGGTCACAAGACGTCGGGCAGAAAGCGACCTCCCCCCTAAAATTTTAACGCCCGTACGCCTATGGGTCTAATAAATGTATAAAATTCACACACGAAATTCCACCTACAAAATCCTTCCACAAATTATAGGTCAAAACTAGCATGGCCAGAAAAAATTCTTGATTCGCACCCTGCATAATAAACGCGGCTAACACTTCCTTGTTAATAATAACCGCGGTTAACACTTCCCAACACACGTCAATGATAAAGTCAGCTGTCCACACTAGGCAAGCTGAAAAGTTTGCTTGACCGCGGTGAAATCTAACCGGTGACAGTAAAGTTCCAATAAATATATGTCCGCCCTATAACTTTATGTTGTTTTACTGTATGTGGCTACGATTAATCGACTCCTGGTAAAATTTAACCAATTAAAACGAAAACTAAGATGTTTAATAGGTGCAACTGCGCCCATGTTTAATATGCAGCAACCAGTGTCGTGGATAATGCATTTAAAGAGTGATACCTTTTGTTCTGTAGCTTGTGGTAAAAAACTTTCATTCTTGGTAAGACTCTGTACCATGTTTCCACCATCAATGAGCCCAGCTAAACATTTAATACGATAATTTATAAACTGATTATAAAAATACAGAATGCCCTTGCTTATGCCCAGGCTTGTGCCCGACTTGACTTCGTGGTAATATCCGATTTAACAACCAATTCGTAATACAACCTTTCGATAATTACGTCACACATACTTTTTGGTCTAGGAGGCTCGCTCTCATTAACCTGAGTATCAGGCCCTTGGTATTGAAAGAGGGCCTGACACAATTCGCCTCTAAAGCCATGTTCAACATCCAGAATCTGGATGTTATGCTGATTGGCTAAGAGACGATAAAACGCATCATGTGATTCAAACCGGAAATATATGACCGGAAATGACCGGCGTATGTAAACACCAAAAATAGAATTTGTAATTTTGTCAATATACTGTTTAAAAGTGCTTTATTTCTGAAATTTATTTTCAATTAATTAAGCCAAAATTATTTTTAAATGACAAAATAAGTACGAAAAGACGTTGAAAAACGCTTTTGCAGCAACGTTTTACTCGGTATAAAACTAAAAATACACAGTCATAGTAGAAAGCGTGTCTAAATATCTCGCCGTAATAGTCGCCGTAGAACGAAAATATGTGGATATCGGAAATTTTCAAATATTTAGTTCCAAAAAGCTGAAGCCTTGTTTATCAGTTTATTGCCCAGCTGTTTTCCAAGACCTGCAAGGATATAGTAGTCAGCTCGCTCGAACTAATATGCCAACATCAGGCAGAAATTGAAGACAATAGCCGCTGTGTTAGACGCAGTTGAAGCGAATAGCTGTCTCGAATAAACTATTAACATGACACGAGGACCGAGGAAGAAGAAATCCTATTCAGAGTGCCGAATGTTGTCTATTTAGACTCCTGGAAAAAGCCATCGAGCTATGGTTCCCCGAATAAGGCATACTTTACGCTTAGAATTCCATCATGTGGATATTTCGACAAAAACATACCGATTTTTCTCCGTATTTATTCAAATTTATACAAAACTGCAAATAACGAAATTTGCGTATTTACATACCTGTAGCGGACAACCGGAAATATGCTACGACCGGAAATAATTTTAATTGGCTGATATTCTGGGGGTGGAAAGCCCGTAGAGGCGAATTGTGTCAGGCTCTCTTCAATACCGAGAGCCTGATACTCAGGTTACGCTCTCATTAGTAAATTATGCAAGGTAATTGGCTCACGATTCATGAGAGCGAGGCTCCCAGGCCAGATGACATAATTATCGAAAGGGTGTATTGCTGGGCACCAACATTGAAGAGTAAGGGGTGAAGGGTACAGTATGCATAATTTAATCCAACATCGTGTTAATTAAATGAAAGAATAGTAGTTACGAATTGTTACTCACATGAAGTATCGGATAGTTTAAGGGTCCAAACTTTAACAGTTCTATCATTTGAACCGCTGGCCAGATATTTGCCGTCTGGTGAAAACGCACAACACGTCACATATCTAAGAAGAGAAAACAGACAGTTGTTGAGGAGTTGTTTAGCTTTTTGGGATTTACCTTTCGTGGATTTTAGATTAATAAGATTTTCACAAGTTAGTGCTCATATTGACCTTACTGTTTACTGCACTCTTGTCCCCAATGGCATCATTTTCATGGCAAGACATTCAAAATAAGCCGGCGGCCGGCGGAGTTCCGCCGCGTGCCACAAGGTCATCCGCCGGTTACTTTGTTTAGTACTATCAATTCTAGTCTCCATCCTCCACTCTACGCTTTCAAACAAAGTTATTTTTCCTCAACCTGGTCAACTTTGTAGCCTGGTTATTTTCGAAAAAGACATACTATTACATAAAACTGATTTTGTTATTCGCCAACTTAAATCTTGAAGTTATCTTGTTGAAGAATGAAAGTAGTGATACATTATAATTTTGTTACAAAGCTCAATATACACTAGTTCATTTGTATGTATGACTTTGAGAACAAGGCCGGATTTTGAGGGGAGGTGAGGGGAGGTGCGCACCTCCCCTGAGATCGTTTTGCACTTCCCCTGAGAATTTTTGCACCTCTCCTGAAAACTCATGCAAATTCCCCCCGGGAAATTTTCAATGATAGATCAAATTTTTTGGTTGCTTAGGGTGTACACTTCATAACAAAGTTTTTCTGTAAAATTGAAACAGTGACAGCCATTCATCTCTGTGTTTAATGCAATGTTTTGAAAGAAGCTTTGTAGTAATTGTAATGAAGGGCAAAAATGGATGAGTTGTGCAGTCATGATTCATTAATACACTGATACACATGTACACGACATGCATACTGTACGTCACATCGTTGACTTTAATTTGGTCCGTTCTAAGCCCTAACTTTCCATGGGGGTCGTGAGCTAGACCGCTGCACCTCCCCTAAATGTTTTTCCACCTCCCCCACTATTTCCACCAAAATCCGGCCTTGTTTGAGACTCCCTAGACCACTCCCCACAACCGCCTACTTTATCACCACAGCCACCTACTCAGAATGATTCTGAAAGCCCTGTTCATGTCGGATTGTATTATCATGTTTCGTGTACAATATTGTCAACACCGACGTCACCCGAAATTTGGTATATCAAATTTTGCCGGCATTTTGCATCATAGCACTCGCATAAGAAAGCAAGGAACTTTAAAAATCTCATGTTTTGTCCTATATGTTGAAGATTACCACAAGCTGACACAAACACAGTTTTTAATCCAGTCCCCCTCGGCAATCTGACGCTGCCTCCTCCGCAGGCCCTCGTTGTGTCATGGGAAGGTCACGATTTCGAGAGGGCCTGCGGAATCTTGTAAAATGAATAAATGTTGTTTTGAACTTGCTTCGTTAAAGAAGGCAGTTTTATTCATGCAACATTGGTGTGGACAACAAACCTTATCGTTAAAAAATGCTTCCTTCCACGTCCTAAGAGTCGCCAGTTTAATTTATAAGTTTCACACCGCTTTTTTATATCTGTTTATATTCAAGATTATGTAGAAATTTACTTGCTGACGTGACGCCGACGCCATTTTTTTTACAAGATTCCGCAGGCCCTCGCCAGATCGTGACCTTCCCATGACGCAACGAGGGCCTACGGAGGAGGCAGAATCTGACGTCCGTGGTGACAAAAACGTCGCTTGCTTAAGCTCTCTACTATTTGCTTTTGTCCTTGAGCTTTCGGCTGGAACCAAAGAATAAAGTCGATTCGCGCGAAAAAATATCGCTAGTGGAAAACCGGCTTTAGTGATACCTGTAGGCTTGCGATTGAGGTAAAGATCAAAGAGAAATATATTTGTCCGGGAAACATGGGGATATTACTTTCACGCGCGCCTTTCATGCTGGAACATAGAAACGAGGCCATTCAGGCAAGAGCGCAATAAACGATAAGGTCATTAATTTGAAAACACGTCATTGAAAATAAATATGCATCTATTTACCTTGAGTGCGCGAATACTCTGTGTAAAGCTGTCGCTTTAATCTAACAAAAAAAGAAAATATTCAAATTTCCATTTGCCTACAAAGTAAAAATGCATTTGATTTGGATAAAATGTACATCGAGAACGATCAACTTTTCAATGACAAGAAACTTGAATTATATACTATCGTGAATATTATTAATTTTATTAAAAAGTTGTGTACATTCATGTGTCATCTACCAAGGTCCTACTGCTGATGCACCCCAGTTTTAAATTCTTGGAGATCATAGTTGACAGCTCCACTGCATGTTAATTATCTTTCCTGGGCAAAGAGTGTAATTATGGATATGTCATGGTAAAGAATAAATCAAAACTTACCGGATCCCAAATGATAACTGTCTTATCTCCTGAGCTAAAACATTAAACAAATAATTAATGCCGTTTATATGGAAGTGGTACAAAGACTTAAAATTAGGTTTTTACCACAGACTATAACATTGTCACTAATGATGAACTATACAGGGTGTATAAAAAAAACTGAACAGATTTGAAATTGCTCTCAATTTCGCAAAACAGCTCGTGGTATCAACTTTTTGTCATATATAGATTCCTTGAGTACAGATAATGTAGAATGGAAAAAAATACTCGAACTCAAATTGTGTAAACCAGGGGGTGTAAATTCCGTGCAGTATTTAAACACCCACCACATTTTTCACCCATGCATTAACTCAAAATACGATTAAAGCTTTTAAATCTCGTGCGCAAGCCATTTTTAGTTTGTTGGAAAAGACACTCCCTGGTTTACAAAATTTGAGTTCGAGAAATTCTATTCTACGTTATAAGTACCCAAAGAAGCTATATCAAAAACTGAATACTAATAGCTGTTTTGCAAAATTGAGAGCAATTTCATATCTGTTCATTTGTTTATACACCCTGTAGTGTGGAAGAGTAAAAAATACGAAGAAAAATAAAAAATGAACAGTATAGGTAGATATACGAGATAAACTTGCACAAAGATATTGCATAAAATACACACAGGCAGAGACTGGGAACGGAGAAAATACTTTTTAATATGTTTGCTTTAAAATGTTAATATTTGATGTTGAATCATTTGGAAGATTTTAAATTACATATAGTTTTATTTCAACATTACCATGAAGCGAGTAGTTTTCCGTTGCTGGAGAAATTGCATTGCCAAACTAGAGCTTCATGTGCAGCCAATGTGGATCTGTAGCCAATGTGGCATTTGTCTGAATACGCTGTCAAGGTTTTTTATAGAAATAACAATGAGAATATAATAACACACTTTGACTACGTCTCCTTACTACACACGTACATAAAAATCACAACTTGTCAACAAGGTGTGTTCACAACAAACTTGTAAAAATCTTGTCAACAAGTTGCAACAATAATGTCATTTTATCAAGTTGCTGCCAGCTTGTCACTCACAACTTTGTTAACAAGTTGTTGAGTCAACAACATTGTACAAGTTGTCAACAAGCCGTCGACAACTTGTCACTCTTTCTTTTCGTTGACTTGGAATCCAGAATAAAAATATTTATATATCAAATTTAATTAAAGGAAATTAATATTTGATGGGCTACCTTTAAATCTTATTCTATATTTCTGCATTCAAAGTATTCAAAGAAAACCTGGACACACACATACAGTATTGTATTATTCACATCGAGGGAAAAATCACATATTTAAATCACGTAATTACAAAAAGGCACAAAAATTACAAAAAAATTACTTAAAATCACAAAAAAACGCACATAAATTCAAATGCTCATCCCAAAATTCTGGTAAGAAATTTTTTAAAAACCCACAAAAGATCACATGATTTTTTGATATCTCATACACTTTTTAGAGTGATTTGCCCCTCGATCATATGATTGATAGAATATAAAAATCTGGGGGTTTATACCTGAGCCAGTGAAAATGTTCCATAGTTTAACCAAGTTGTCTCCACCACCAGTTGCAAGGAGGAAGTGAGGTGAACTACCACTGGTATCTGTGTTACATGGAACTTGAAAATACACACTTTCGTGTTACCAATTTGAAATATGGTTTGCGCAACGTGTTAAACAAATCACATAAGTTACCAACTCCAAAGTAGAAGGAGATGGGGAGTAGCTTGAGAAATTATCCTCATATCCATCAAGCCATCTGGACGGTTTGGTATTCAATTATGACTTAGTTATTGATTAAACATTGTAAGTTATCTTTTTAGTAAGGCATATAGTATGAACTAATGTATATAGCATGAACTATAATACTGATTAAACATTGCAGGTTATCTTTTTAGCAAAGTGTAAATAAGGCATACAGTATGAACTATAGTGTATGAACTATAATGTATACAGTATGAATAATGTATATTGTAGCATGGACTGTACCTCAAGATATGTATTTTTATCTTTTGATTCAATAAAGACTAATAATAATAATAATAATAATAATAATAATAATTTAAAGAGCCAATGTACTGCCGTACCCTAACCTACAGTATGTACTTTTTCATCCATGAGAGACAAGTAGCTTACTGTTTATGCAACTTAGTTTTAAGTCTGATTGGTTACCTAAATTTATATTCCCATATTTATGAACTGCCTGTCACTGAAACATGTTATGATATTAAAGATTCATAAAATAACTGCACAGTAGTATTCATTGATTAAGTCTGTCTGCAGATTGCAGGTGAAGTACAAGAATATCAAGTTTCAAAAATACTTTCTGTGTTTGACTCTGTCTATATACATTTCTTATATAAAAAAAATTCATTTCTGTCTATATTTATTTCATTTCTGTCTATATACAAAAACATTTCTTATGCAAATACAATTAAAATATGACAGTCTATTACAGTAACTACTAAAATCAACACTCAATATTTTCTGGGGGAGTCTGTTCTTCCCTCATGTATACTACTAAATTAAATCTAATATTTTCACCAGACGTTTTCAGCCTTTTCATGCCCCATAAACTGGCCATTAAAACCCCTATTAAGATTATGGATGAACAGGCTTCAATTTTAAAAAGTCGAACAAATGATGATGGAAGTGCAAGAAAGGATGGAAATACTGTGATTTTTAGGCAGTTGGTTCAATGTACAGATTTTTTCACTTGAGAAGGGGCACTAGAATAAAATTTCTGCAAGGCATTATTCATCATTACTGCATCATCAATTTAGTATAGGTAGTGGCAATACAATGAACACGCTTTCGAATGAACAAGCTTTCATTGGTAGAGATGCAGTTACATGAAGATATATAAGGATACTATAATTTTGACGTTTAGAGCGAAGGCCCTTCGTCTGGAGTAACCAGACGTTACTGGAGTTACAAAGGTCTTTCACTCGAAACATTGAAATCCTCCCAATATATTTTCAGGTAGTTGCATCCCTACCAACGAAAGCTTGTTCCTTCTATTAAACACCCTGTATCTTTGTTGTGAGGGGGAAGTGGGGCAGGGAACTTAATAAATATCTCATTAACTTACAAAATTGGGGGGCTTATAAAAGTATACTGGAGGTTTATTTTAGGGGGTAGGCAGCTATAACTAACTCACTAGATATATGTGGTGAATAATTAACTCATTGAGTGGCAGCACTCTTCCACTGACGAGTGAAATCGTCTGGCATTAGACAGAGTAAAATCATCTGGTGTTAGACAGAGTAAAATAATAAAGTAGGGCAAATCTGGGCACATTGCCACTTAAAGGATTAACAGGTGGGCAGATAGTCTGATTAACCCATAGAGTGGCAGCATGCACTCATCCACTGATGAGTAAAATCGTCTGGTGTTAGACAGAGTGAAATAATAAAGTAGGGCGCATCTGGGCACATTGCCACTTAAAGGGTTAACAGGTGGGCAGATAGTCTGATTAACCCATAGAGTGGCAGCATGCACTCATCCACTGATGAGTAAAATCGTCTGGTGTTAGACAGAGTGAAATAATAAAGTAGGGCAAATCTGGGCACATTGCCACTTAAAGGATTAACAGGTGGGCAGATAGTCTGATTAACCCATAGAGTGGCAGCATGCACTCATCCACTGATGAGTAAAATCGTCTGGTGTTAGACAGAGTGAAATAATAAAGTAGGGCGCATCTGGGCACATTGCCACTTAAAGGGTTAACAGGTGGGCAGATAGTCTGATTAACCCATAAAGTGGCAGCACTCATCCACTGATGAGTAAAATCATCTGGTGTTAGACAGAGTAAAATAATAACGTAGGGTGCATCTGGGTGCATTGCCAGTTAAAGGATTAAGGGAAGAACTTTGATTATCTTTCAATTTAGGCTAGTGTTAAATTATGCCATTTTTCTGGCAATCTGTGAGTTTTGAACAAACAATTCAATTTAATGCACAGCCAGATACAGTATAACTTTAAAATTTTGTGACATCCAATCAGGGAAAAGAATGTTTATTACACATTCCACCAATCACAACCTGTTATTGCAATCCTTGATAGTGACATGTTTGGAACAACCAAACAAAAGAATCTGCAAATGCTGGAAATACAAACAACTGTCTATGTTTTGTCTTTTGAGAGGGCTGGGGCTGTATGCAATAACACTCTGGACCCCACCACCATGTTTACATGTTCTGCAGTTTTGTATCAAGGTTCTGTTACATCAATTATCAGGGCTCGAAACTTGCAGTATCCCGATATCCACAGGATATCAGATTTTAATTTTGGATACTGGGTATCATAAGCTCAGTATCCCAAAGTTCTGGATACTAGGAAAACTTAGAAATTGCGATAGTAGATAATCATCTAGACGTTTGGCATGTTTCCGAACTTTAATGTCTACGGATTTTGGCAGAATATTTAAAAAAAAAATTTCACAAACGGTGCTTTCTTTCGTATCGGCGCAGTGTGTTATTTTCATTTTTTTCGAATTTCAATACATATTTTTATTATTGAAACTAAAGGCCTGGTTTTTGCTCAGCAACTGAAGGCCTGGTTGCTTAGATACTGGAAATAGAATATCTAGTATCCAAATCTGGGTTACTATATTTCAAGGATGGATACTAGATTCTATGATGCTGGTATCCACTTGGATACTGACAAAAATTTCAAGTTTCGAGCCCTGCAATTATAGATACTAGCACTTCATAATTAGTATTCAAGCTAAGTAGCAAAGAGAGCATGCTGGGTTAACCCATTAAGTTGCATTGAGTCCTAATTAATGCACCCTACTTTATTATTTTACTCTGTCTAACCCCAGATGAGTTAAAATCATCTGGTATTAGACAAACTAAACACATGGGCAGTTAATCCATTGAGCACCAGGGTTTACTCTCCTTGACAAGTAAAATTGTCTGGTGTTAGACAGCGTAAAATAATAAAGTAGCTCACAATAGGCAATTCCAGCTTTTAGTTTATGTGTGCAGGGGACGATGGGAAGTAAGGTATCACATTGCTGATTAAGCTGAAAAAATAAAAATGGTGGCTGTGTAAACATGGACTGATAGCTTATACTTGTAAATATTGAAATATTTCGGTTGTTTCAGTAGTTTTTGTTGAAATTGTTCAGCACAATCAGCAATACGATACCTTATTTCCCATCATCCCCTGCAGGCATAAACTAAAAGCTGGAATTGCCTATTAGGGCACAATGTAACTTAATGGGTTAATATCCAAGAATTTTGTGGTATCCAAATAGGATAACAAGGTTTTGACATCTGGTGTCGAACACTGAAAACTGGTTTCATCAGGATACCGGGATAGTGCAAGTCTCAGCCACCTTGGGTGGTCATCATGGGTGAGACCTCGTACTCAGAAGGGAGGCTGGTGGTATGCTGAATGTGTATTAATTCTGTTGTGCACTTGGAAGATCTTCCATGTGTATCTTTTACTTCAAAAGCTAAATTACAGGACTACTTTTTTGACCTTCTGCACACATAATTTTGCAAAGAACACAGTCCGGTAGCTGGCAGTTGTAAGGGTTGTTGATATGTGGGCAGTTTTCACCTTTTCATGCCTTGCCTTCATAACTGCCAGTACCTCAACCTCCAAATCCTTTAAAAAGCCGCTAGCTATGCTGCACAGCTGTTATGTGAAATTATGTTTTAATAGTTAAATACATACCTGCAGAACCAAATGTAGGAGAAAAACAGCACGTATTTACTCCCATATCATTAGCTTCCCTATCAAATGCTTTACAAACACCACTCTGTATTTCCCATAGATTGATCTCACCATTACTGCCACCAGCAAGAATATATAAGTTATCTGGTGTGAAAGAACATGTCATAACACTGCTTTCAAAGCCTTCAATACGCCGGACAAGTTTCTTGGTTTTCGTGCTCCACAAACATACAGTTTCATCTGCGGAACCTGAAGCTAGGAGCAAGGAATCCGGTGAAAATACACATGCTCTGACAGCACCGCGATGTCCTTCAAATGTTGTGATCTTCTGATTTGTTTTCGCATCCCACAACCATACTGTACAGTCAGTCGAAGCAGTGGCTAGAAGAGTTCCGAAAGGAGAGAACGCACAAGCACATACATGATAGCTGTGTCCCTGTAGAGGTGAATCATCTAATTCTTTGCCTTCCGAAATGTCCCACAGTCTCACAGTTTTATCGCTAGAACCTGAAGCTAAGATACGGCTGTTTGGAGCGAATGCACAGCAATTTATATCTTTAGTATGTTGTGATAGAGTCAATGTGAGTTCGGCCATATTTTTCACTGAAATTAAAAATTAAAATTTTTTGCTGACTGTTTTGGTTATTAGGGATTTATTGGGATAGTTATGGTCATAGTCGAGT